TTTATTTTGACCAGCAGTTTACAGTCACTGGATAAGGTATTGGTTTGAAAGGACGTTGTAAAGCAAAGTAAGGAAAGTGTGCTGGATCTGCTGGAGAACTAAAAAATAGGCTTTTTAATATTCTTATCGCATTAAGAATGGAAATAAGAAAAAAAAACCATAATTCGAATTATTTAAATACGTTCGTACAATTTGGGAGTTGGTTAATAGGTCCAGTCACTTTGGATTCCAATCAAGATTGTTTTACACTTACATGTGAATGGCATCTTAGTGCTTCTTCTGTAACTGGCGCACAGCTTTTTGATTTATCAGAAGGTGCTACAATTTTTAGTGGTCGATTGCGGGTGAAATGGCAACTGTAGATCAGTTTGTGGCCTGCGTAGGGTTGTGCATGTCTTCAGCTTTTGGTTTCGAATTCTGAATTCGAGGAGGGGAGTTGTCATATGGTATTATCAGTGGAACGGACAATTTAAATAGGGAGGGTTTAGTCGTGCAAAAGGTCCAGTACTCACCAGTCTGATTTGTGAGGTCGACATTTTTGTTGCTAGATACGCATAAAATTTTCTGTGATTCTTTGGTTGTGAGCTTTTTGGTTCGCTAGGGGTGCATTTGGCAGTTATTTGTCGAAGCGAAGAAAGTACGGGGAGGATGACAGATGCTGAATGTTGCATACATTCTTCCTGAATTCATTCGGTGACTCGGCTTTACGACCGAGTTAATAATTTCTTAAAGTTCGCAAGAAGATTAGGTTATGAATTCTATCGAAAAATTCTCGATTACCATTGAGTAAGCCACACGCTCCTTTCATGTGTGATATTACTTTTTTGGTTTTAATGTTTTATTTAGGGTTCATCTACTATGGGTTTCAAGTCGGTATAGGTGCAGAGATTTTTTTGTTAGCTGTTTTTGATCAAAATTGTGTTTTATGGACATGAAGCTAAACAACCATTTTTTGGGGCGAAATAATAGAAATGGGTTTAATCTTGGGAAATACAGTTTAGCAGCACTTGGTTTCGGTCATAGTATGTAGCGTTATGGTCTTAGAAATTAGAGAAGGACTAATTTATCTAACAAAACAGCATCATTATGGTTGCCATGATAAATACTTGAAAAGTCTTACCGAGCATTATGGAAGCAAAGTTGTATCTTTTATAATAACCTTTTCCCTCTGTTTCTGTATGTTTCCAAATTCTTCATTTCAGTCCTGAACCGTGTTGACAGCAGTGCTGGATGAATAATATAGAAAATTTGAAAGTAGTCTACAGTAAATTTTTTTGTTTTTACAGAATAATGATCATTGTTCTGCTCCTCTTCTGTTTCAATTTTTTGCCGATTAATTTTTCTTCGCTTGTATCATTTCTTACAAAACGTCCTTTGAACTGTCTTTCAAACATCTTCAGATATTGTTTAAATACTATGCTCCAAGTTTCTTAGACTTTGGTTTTGATCCTTTTTTCGGAGGAACTAAAGCTACCGAATGCCTTCAAATTTTGGAATATGCTCATCTTTTGGATTATTAGTTAAGTTACTGAGCCTGAAAGCTTTTACAATTTTCAGTTTTCTTCGGCAGCACCAAGTCCTTTGAGCCTTGGCCCAGGACCCGGTGGTGATGGCATGATGCCAGGTGGCGGTTATTATCCACCACGTTCTGCTCAGCCTGGTCCGTCTGGATCGACAAGCCAAGCTTCTCCAATTTCTGGTTATTTGGTTCTTTCATTAGTTTGCTAACTTGTATTTTTTTGCTTTCAAGATCTCCATCTTTCAATGTTAAACTGTTGCATTTCAAACCAGTTATTCGTCCCAGTTGGCAAATTTTCAGCATCTTAACGATTTATATAGTGAATATTGAAAATTATTCTTTAAGCACTTTTTTATTATGTAAAATTCTCTCTCCGTTATCTCACATTTAATTTAGGTGTGCCGTCAGCCGGTAATTTTGCTGCCGTTCCTCCAAGGTACGGAATGCCTGCAGCACGGAATGGTCCACCTGGACCTGGAGGTATGCCTCCTGCTGGCTTTCCTGGCGGTGCTCCACCTCACATGTTTACTGGAAGCGAACAGATGCGTCCTCTTCCTGCACAGCGACTACCTCCGAATGCTGGACCCATGCGGATGCCCACTGTAATTCCTTTTCTTAAAAAAAGTTTCTTTTTATGGATTTAGCGAAGCATACAGATTTTGGCTTAGTTATTGGTTTAACTTTTTTGGTTATTTTTATTTTTTTGTGACTTCTCTGTGTTTTATACCTCAGTGGTTGGTAATTTTGCTGGTTATCCATCTTGCATTTCTAATAATTTTTTTTCTTAATTCGCTTCTCTCTGTGTAGAAAGCCCATATAAATGTATATGCATATTTAAGTTTAGGGGACTTGAAAACATTAATTTTGAGGTTCAGTTGGGGGTAATTGTTTTATTCACTCTTGTTTAGCACAAAAGTTTCTTTCTAATGTTAGGATACGTCTCAGAATTGTTCTGTTTTCTGTACTTCAGGTTGCTTTTCAGAGTTAGTTGGTCATTTTCAGGGTTATCCTGGAATGCGACCTAACGGTCCAATGCGCTACACATCGCCGATGTATATGGAATCTCCTACTGGCGCTCCGTTTTCGGTATTTTATTTGTAGTGTTGTTGCTTCAACGATTTTTAACAAAAACCGTTCATATAGGAAGCAGGGACATTTTTTCTTTCCATTT